GTTTGGTTAAATTGTACAGGAAACATAACCTTACAGGTCTGATCTTACTTTGCTTAGCTTTGGTGTATTACTTACTTCAGTGGACAAGTAAACCCAAGATGTTTTTAGCCTCGCCAACAATCCCAAATCTTCTTACATCCTTCAACCTTTGGTCACTCCACCGCAGTCTTGGCCTTCCTAAAGGTCTTCTACCATTGGGTTTACCTTTATGAGACTGGAGTTGTCCCTTCTTATCACATGACCAGCCCCCTCAGACGTTTAATTTTTACCGTGAAAATTATTTCTGGCTCATGACAAACCTCTCTCAGTTCTCTATTTTTCTCATCACATTCCTGCCGCATAAACAGGTCCAAATATTGTTCTTAGTACCTTATTTTCAAAAGTTATGGGATTTATTTCTGGATACTAAAAATCTGATTCTGACCTAACCTTACTGGTGGGCTTGTAGAGAAATAAAGTACGAAGATCAAAATGGCAACGCACGTCCTAACGAGATTATAGGCTCCAAAACCACGCTTCACACTACAATTAAACTGATCCAGATACCAGTAAAGACAGCGATACATAGCTCGTCTTCTTCTTCTTCCATCCTCATCCTCCATTTCTCCACTTGCCCGCCATCACTTTCTCCCGCCATGTTCGCCTCCACTGAGCGTCGGATGTAGCACAGACTTTCTCCCCCTTCCCTCCCTTAGTGGGGGATCATTATAGACTCATAAAACATCGAAAGGAATTGCCGTGGTGCTGTCGCACTTTTTGCAAATATAACCCATTGTGATTTGCTGATTTGCAGTTTGAAGTTTTCTTTGTTTTTTTATTTATTTCGGAAAGTAAAATAGTGCTTCACAAATCTATGATATCCAACATTGACGTGGAATTTTGATGGTAAAAGCTGAAGATGGTTTTCTAGAATAAGAATTCCAACTAACAAATTATTGTTTGTGCTAATTAAATCTATGATTGTGCGGCTTCTAAAACATTTTTCAACTTTGTTCAACCTAAATGATTGTTGTGAATCCTGCAGTGCAGCGTTAGTTTGTTTATTCTATTTTCATTCATATTTTTCATCAATTTTTTTTTCGATAAGAACAATTATTCATAAGAACCAGGAAACAGTAACTTACGAAGGCGATACAACTACAGTCCAAGTTGACACCACCGATCTTAATGAAGAATTTTTGCAAAATTCAAATTAAATTACGGTTGGACCTAATTAATTGTTAAAAATATTAGCTGGCATAAATACTTTTTTTATTTAAAACCTCAGTGAGTGACCCGCATAAAAATGTGAAAAAGGAGTTAAATCCTGAATGAAAATTGAAGATTTTGTAAAGATTGAAAGATGAAATAAGCTTTTTTTGAAGATACTGGAGCAGTTCTGGACCTTATTTAATTTGGAGGATACGTAATTGTGAATGAACCAAAGATTTTTAAATGTATGAATGCACTGTAACGTCACTGAGAAATTGTAAATCTAAGATATCACAATAACTTAAAGTTAGTAAGAATTATTGTATTATGAGAAAAGAAAACATGCGCTAGTTCGCATGTGTAGTCGCAATAGAGCTCTCAGTTTGTCATCATAAAATATGTTGGATTATTAGAAACAAGCCCATTTCTCTACTGCCTTATTAATTTTCACTAAAAATGTGTGACAACTGTATGAGGAATGAAGTATTTACACCTAAAAATCAGCAATGCGGCATTATACGAGTACAACAGCTCCTACAGTGGTCTCGACCAATCTCGGGATTTTTTAAAAATTAGCCACAACAAGTAATGGACTATACTCTATCAAAATTATAGAATATACCTTACAATATTTAACCCAGTAATGTAATGAATCTATCCAGCAATTAAAATTTTGCTGAAATATCACGTGACACAATGTTGAGTTTAAATTGCCTACACCTTTTCCTCGCAAAGTGAAGGAAACGTTTGGGATACAGTTATTCGACTTTGTCTGAAGATCGATGCGCAAGAGATGGGATATGCGCATCGCAGATGAGATGCTTGCAGTCTCCGATGATGTTTGTGAACCAGGAAGTGATTTCCAACTTCGACCTCTCTTACGCCAGCAATGAATCATACATAAAATAGTTCCAACCTACGAGTGTCAAAGAAATGTGGGAAAACTTTTGAAATCTGCTAGTCACTCACATCTTCTTTGCTGGTTGCAAATTGGTTTAGGTTTTAAAACGTTAATTTTTCCCTAAATTATATATATTTTTATCAAAAAGTCACATGTGTATGTATATTGAAGCGTAAATAAAATAAGACAGGATGAGGAGTAGAGGCAGCTAATGGTTCGACGAATTCCTTTTGATAATGGTATACAATTAACATTCGCAAATAGGCATTGAGGACTTGCAATTTGGAAGGACATCCATCGCTATTTTTGCATTTTCATGGCATATCGTGGAATACATTTTGTATTTTGAACTATTTTAGATCCACTCTAAGCTTTATGAAAATGTAATTAGTGATATGGCAAGACCCCAACAAGACTTTACAAAATGCTTTAAGTGAAATTACACGTATTAAATTCTTCTACATGTACTCCACTTTACAATACGTGGTCTCATCATTGTCATGCGAATGAATGAAAAAGATTCGTGTGGATTGTTATTACTACTCAATGTAATCATTGTCTGAAGCAATAAATAAATAAATAAATATTATATATTTGGCTGACGACGTCGTTGAAGTCATTTTGGATTTTTTAAAAGTTCTATTTTTGTTTAGAACTTTTGAGAACTTTTTTCTATTTTTGTTTAACTTTACCTGACAATGAACCAGGTTTGTTTTCTTTTTTTTTCTAGTTTCATAATTTCTCACAAGACTTGATATTACAATACGCCAGCCTCAGGTGAAATTGTGGCTCCACAATGACAACAACAGAGGTTAACGAAATGACATTTATGACAAGAATTGGCCACAGACTTTAGGACTCAGAAGAATTGGTCGACCTTGAAGAGTAAACTTATCGCAACTTTCAAATGATTAGTTACAAAAATCTTTCTGTTTGGACAACTCAGCTGATAGTGATCAACACATTCATGTTCAGCAACCACGTTAGCACGATGAGGCTTTAATGATAGGTCATTGCTGAATGCTCTTCATCATTGGGTATTCAAGGATCATCGCGAGCCAGCTTCGACTTGCACTTGCCTCAGCAAATGCTGGCGTGACAGGTGTGTTCGGGAGCCAGCAGGCTAGAGCGTGTTCTGGCATGTTCCGCGATGCCCGACGCTCCCAGCAGCGTGTCTACATCGCCGCGCTTTCTTCCGTCGAGACTACTTTCACCGTAGAAGGTCAACAACCACCAACCTAGACCGTGGGGAGGCCAAGGGCATGGGGTCGTTCGGGAGGTTAAAAAATACCTAGAAGAATGTTCATAGTTGATGCTGAATAAAAAGAAACGTAGGAAAACGTTGTAGTGGAAGAAAATTTGGAAGTTAGTAACTCATCAAACTATCATAAAGTAATTCATGAACTATTAAGAACTGATAAAACTGATAACAAGTCTCGATCATAAAAGTAATTTGTGTTTTTATGCCCAAGTCTCCCATGTGCAGAGAAATGGGTTCGCGGGGATTCAAATTGGATTTTGGCATTCAATTGAGAGTTCTCTACTTCATTTAAGGTGGGAAATAACATTGGAAAATTATGAAAAAGTTTTAACATGAAAGTGTTTGAAATATAATATAGAAGTTTTTCGCCTTTCTTAACAAGTCATTTTAAGGAGATTTGTATATGAATATTTCACTCTTTGAAATTTACAATACAAACACTACAACCTAACACCAACCTCCAATTCTACTAATACATTTTATTGACTTATTATGTTTTTTATATTGAACATAATAACCAAAATTCCCACTTAGATGTAGCTGCCATGAGCTTTTGGAACTCTTTTCCCTTGTTTTATCTTAAATCCATTCTTGAGCTGTGAGCAGCCAAAATATTAAAACATTTTAGGAAAATTATATTTTTTGTCATTCTAATTATTTTAAAAACCTTTGTATTACTAAGAGGTATCAAACAATATTTTTTACCTCAATTTTCTTCACAATAAAAATACTTTATAATCAAAGCCAAAGTCAAAGGTGTAGTAGCCTTCAAGCGGGCTGCTGGGTTTGCATATTTTGATACCTCTCATATTCAATTCAGGGAGCAGTCCGCCCGGATCGCACAGGAATCTGCAGTTTGTAGGCCAAGAGAAAGTGTCAAGGTTAACGCCTCACTTTCTCTCCCCCCTCTAAGTCCAACTCAACCTAAATTTTATAATTTTGTACTTTCTTCGGTGTATGTTTACCTTCTTCATTATCGCTCTATTCTCTGTGGTCAGTTTGGTTGCGGTAATAGATGTTTTGATGTTATCCAATTACTCGTCTTTTGTTTTGACGTACTTGCACTTCGTCTTGATGAACTTTCTCTTTGACAAATGGCAGATCTGACATTTTAACTGGTTATAGACACCATGATTCGGAAATCCAGTGGGGAAAAGTTGTTCCTAATGTTTCTAAGCATTATAAAAAATGTATTTTGGATTTCATAAACAAATCTCAAAAACAATAAACTAATAGTATTACATTTATTTCAATTTGACGACATTACATACCAAGAATCAACCAATGAAACTTCGTTTATTACATCTTGTTGGATGGATTATTTTAACATAATCAAGTATAGATTATGACAAATAATTTCATGATGCCGTATCGATATCTCACAATGGTGTACATATTATATGATTACATACATTACATGTGACATAACCTGAATACATGTATAAATAACTACATTGCGCTTAACTTTATCATTGCGTTTATACACAAGTCCCATCAAATTGATTATATTTCTTGCATATGGCACATTTTATGTTTGAATGGTGTATATAAGCCTGTGTGTATTTTTTATCTTATTGCCTATCTTGTATGTTTTGTAAAGTGTAAAAAGTAGTACTGTATCAGTAACCAATTTTGTGTTTGTTGCAGGTGAAACAATAAATAGTGCCAGAATGCCCCGTCGCCGAGCCTCTGCCTCCGCCGCCTCCGGATGACGATGGTCTGCTAGCCAGAGCACCGCTGGATCCTCCCTGGCTGAGTCCGTCCGGAGCGCCGCCGGGTTCGCCGCCACCCTCCACCTCCACGTCGTCCGAGAGTAAGATGAAAATTGCCGGCGGCGACTCTCCCTTCATCATAGGAATGCCCTTAGACTTGATGAACTCCTGTTGGGCCGTATCCGAACACTTCTTGGGTGCCGCCTCCCACCAGAAAACCATGTTAGGAGACACTGAAGACGAAGACTCCAACTCCAAGATGGACGACTTCGAACTGATCCTGAAGTCTTCGCCTTCGGAACAGAATAATAATTTGGCCGAACTCAAGCCGCTGCCTCCGTTCACGGGGTACACCGGACACCTGAGCATCAACGGTATCCCGGGACACCACTACCACACGATCGCAGCGGCACCCAGTCCCCCACGAGTTGAGGCCAACAACAACAGTTCCGACACGGCCAACCAGAACTCCATGTTCTACTCGACCGACCAAGTGGTGTCCTCATCGACCATGGACTGTCCTCTGGACAACATAAAGACAGAGGCCGTAGACTACAACGGCCTGCTCCTCGACCCGGCGATCGAGGACATCGCGGCCGTCCTAGGCTCCGCCATCGCCGATACCACCGTACAAGCCAACAACAACAACGGCAATAATGACAACAACGGCACCTCCAACAACAACATAGACTGTGGCTCGTCAAGAGATAGCTGGATGGAGTTGGACTGGATGGAGTTCGACTCTTGTGAACAAAACTCGTCGAACAATAACAACAAATCAATGCCCCTTTCGGATACGTTACACGAGTTCGTCCCAGTGAGTTCGCACTTCTCCTCAGCGCAGTCGACACCTCCCGCGGTCACCATCTCCTTCCAGCAAGTCTCGCAACAGAAGAGAGACTCCCTGGCCTCCGTATACTCTAGCATGCCGCTGTTGCAGAGTCGGTTGCAGAACGGTCCACCTATCAAGCCCGAACTGACGTACACGTTAGTCCCGAACTGCACTAAACAAGAAGTCACCTACAGCTTGGTGAGCGAATGTCCGTCTCCCTCCTCGTCCACTCAGTACCTCGCACACAGTCCTCCGGGTCACGTGGTCTCTACCTCAGACCTGGTCAGGTACAACCCCGTCCACAGTTCCAGACCGTCGCCCGAACTGCAGGTCAGCTTCCCACACACCACCACGCCCTCCAAGAAGTCGAAGAACAGATCGAGAAGCAAAACAGCCGCTGCGACGTCCACGGTGGTCTACAGCGAGGGATTGGGCAAGGAGAAGCCCGTGCACAGGTGTAACATCTGCAACAGAGGGTTCCTCAACAAGTCCAACATCAAGGTGCATTTGCGCACGCACACGGGCGAGAAGCCGTTCCGCTGCGAGGTCTGCGGCAAAGCCTTCAGACAGAAGGCGCATCTCATAAAGCACGCGCAGATACACAAGCGCATAGGAAGAGAATGATATGATGAGGAGTGCGATCGACCCGCAAGGCCAGACTCGGCCAGGTTCAACCCCTTGCTGCTACTCAAGTACGCCAGGGCCCTCTTTCCCTGACCCTGACCGTGTTGCGGAATTCGTTCAGAGGTCCTGGAAGATAACATAGTCCACAGTTTTCTTTATCGAAAAAGTTTCAATTTATAATATACGTGGATGAAATATTTTGAAATTCCTCGGCCCATTTCGAGTTCTTTCCTCCCAACGAATTCCGCAGTCAGTTCAGGGATCTGAAACCTCAAGCTGGAACCCAAAGATCAGAATCCCCGAGTCGACTCTGCAGTCGGCGCACTCCCATCGACTCATCGCCTATCCAAGGCCAAGGACCGATATTGACAAGACAGAGACTTATTTAGTTTATGTGTATAAGTGACTTCTGAGTGTAGCAAGTGTATTCCAGATGAATGTATATATATTTATGGTACTTCTGGTAACACTGGTGCGTAGTGGAACTGGTCGAAAACTCAGGAACTCTCGTGTACATTTGTAAGTGGGAAAGCGCATCTATATGACTCAGACGTTGTGATTTATATATTTTTGTAACATATTATTTATACAAAGTAGATTAAGACTATGTTTAAAGGTTCTAGGGATTTGCTTAGTGGCTGCCTGAACTGTGTTGCTGCTGAAAATCGTTGTAAATGCTTAAATGGATGTTTATATACAAATTGGGACAAAAATAAACATTCAATAGTTCCAATATATTTAATAGTAAAAAATTATTTATTGCGTTATACATTTCATGAGCACTTCACTGCTCATTTTAAAATTTCACATCACTTATTTAAAGCTCTCTATTCAGCATTGGACGAATCAAGATAAGGTTCTTGATGGATGGTCAACAAATTAGAATTAATTTAAGAGTGCAATGGTCTGGTAAAGATAGGTTTAATGTTTTATGATTACTCTAGGTTAAGCCAACCCCAGGTGCCCAAAACATCAGGTGCTGGGAGAAAATTGAATCAAAACGATTTCAAAATTTTGGGAACGTACCTCGCAACTACCCAATAGTTTTTCTTCGTTGTTGAATTGTCTGACTGACTCGATCGGTCGTGTTTTAGTACAAGTATTGTTTCATGTTTAATTTATATTTTATTGGTTTGTTATTTGCGTGTTACTACTGTATATCAATTCCAACGTATTAAAAGGTAGTTTAGTTTACAAAAACAAAAATCTAATATAGTTGATCAAATGTTCTGAAATTAATTGTTACACCATCATTTCTGTGTTCATTACACGAATGTATTTTTTATTTCAAATCTGACTGTTTTTTTATTTAAGTATTCGCAAATCCAAATATTTCCTAGCAAAGATTTTATTCAGTGTAATATAAGATTAGGTTTAATAAAGGGACCAAAAATGTACATAATATCGTTTAGATATTTTAATAACGTTATTTTAGAGTAAATGTTTAAGTTTGTTTATTTATACATAGATTTAGACTAGTTGTATAGAGGTTGAGTGTGAAATCCTTCATATAAATCTGTATACTTGCTGAGGAGAAGTGGCAATGTATATTTGTGTATCCGTGTGTGCCTAGTAAATTGTAAAGCTGTATCTCTAATTGCAATTTGTATACAGAGTACAATAATATGTAAAATATCCATCCTAAAATTTAACTACCCAAACCTGTTCTAGGTTTTATATTTTTTGTGAACCATTTGACAACGATTAACAGGTACAATGTAAATAAACGCAGGTGTCTAAATACTTGTAAACATTCCACGTGGGATATAATATATCGCTTTTCACAAAAGCTCTAGTACCTAACGCAGTTAGACTATTTAATGGAGAGAGTGCTTGGTTTTATATAAATTTGTAAGTTTTTAAAATCGTCTACGTAGCAAAAAGAATTTATAAATTTGCAGAAGATTGTATACAGCTTGATGCAGTGCACAGCGCTTGATGCGTGCTGTTTGCGTCGTAATATGTTAAAAATTTTAAAAATTACAACCAGTTTGATAAAGTTTAGTGAATACATGTAATAACCTCATTTTTTCAGCTTTGAACCTTTCCCAAATGTTAGTAAACAAAATATTTCGATTGTTAACACTAAATCCTCTATGGAGAGAATGATGGCGTGCTAGACACATATGACTGCTATTTATTATCTTGGGTTGTATAGTATAGTATAAGGCTCTTAGGTTGTATTTTATATACTGTACCTTGGAATAAGGAAGTTGCAATAGTGAGAACTGTGTTCATCAAACAAAAAAAACATCGAATAGTATTTTGTACTCTTCACACTTATTGCTGCTTTCCCTTGTTCTATAGTTAAAGTTTCTATTTCTTTCCAACAGTTTTGTTAATTTCTTGTTCTTTGTTTATTGTTAAATAAAACTAAATCAATAAAATTACCGTGTTGTTGTTTTACCCTGATTTAGATTTTTAAGTTGAAGGTAATTACGTTTATGAATATATGATGTTTGATGAGTTAGTTTTTGGTTCGTATTCTTGGATTAGATTGGCTTATACTTTTTACAACTAACTAAAAGGTTCTAAAGAAAATAAGGCAAAAGAGAAATCTACAGAACAATTTATGGGTGTTTAAATTTGTAGAACTTCAACTTATCGTAATTCTTTTTTTTTACTCATAACCCACCTATGAGCGATTGGCTCTACATGACGCTTTAAAACATACGTTAGCCTGTAACCAAATTTAAATCCGTCAAATTTAAAGCGAGCCATGGATCTTCATTTAAAATTAAATAAATTTTATTTTGAAAATTGTCTTTAGTTAAATGCATATATCCCCAATTCTAAATAACTTCCAAAACTCTTTACAGTCTTAAATAATTCATCAAAGTATTGACTTTTATTTTAGCTATGGATTACTTATTGAGAATTATGTTTTTGGGTCGAGTAATAATGTATGTCAATGAATGATGATGCTAGATGGCAAATCTATGCTTGCATACTTTTAATTTAAGACAAAAATTATGAAAATCGGTGGGGTAAAAGAGTCAAACGAACTCGGAAAAGAAAAACCATATTTAACACCCATAAGAAATGTACAAGGAGGAAGTTGCTTTTGTACATAACTCAAATTTTAAGCCAGATAAAAGAATAAGGATTTTTGAAGGCAAATCTGTGCATGCATACCTTTAATTTAAGCCCAATATTATGAAAATCGGTCGGGTAGAGAAGCGAAACCGACTTGGAAAAGAAAAACCAATATTTTTTTAAATATATAGATTCGAGATAGATAACTCGTCTTGGACTCAAATAATCCAAATATAACCAATATCTCAGATGAAAGGCTTTATTTCTAGGAGTATTTTAACCCTTCCCAGACGGGCGCAATCATGACATATATTCTGCCAGTATGTCTGAAGAGAAGGCAGATATAACCGCTTCCCGTCCGGAGCATCAAAAATCATATGTGGATATATATGCCACCCGTCCTTTATCACCAAAGACTTATGCGGATATATCCGTCACCCGTCAGCGAAGGGTTAAGACCAAGACATATAAAATAACTAAAATAAAAATAAAGCTATGTGTCATTGATTGCAGATAAGTCCAAAAATATTATAATTATTGTTGATAAGTGATGCAGCAGCGTGCTTCAGGTACGTCCGATCTTAATAATCAATAGCTCAAATGAAAGGTGGGTTTTCAATTAAGATTATTAGACAAAAACATATACGATAATGTAATTAGAAATTGTGAAATGCACCTCTAATTGAAGTAAGAACTTTAATAGTTCTTACATTTTGTAATTACAATATGTAATAAATATTCTAAAAGTTATAGTTAATAGTTATTTTTAGTAAATTTGACTTGGCAAATGCATGTGTAATGTCAATCTAGCTAAATAAATTAATTATTGAGTTAGCCTATAGGTAAGAATTCCAAAAAAATCGAATTCATGTTTTTTGGTCGAGTAATACAGTACATGAATGATGATGTTTAATGGCTAATCTGTTCGTGCACACTTGAAAAAATCCAAATTAAACTGCCTTATAATGTACAAGGAAGAAGTTGCTTTTGTGCATGACTCGAAATATACGTCAAATTCCGAATTCCAATGCTTGATGAAAATTTTGTGTGTATATGCCTTTAATTTAAGACCCAAATTATCAAGACTAAAACAGATCGGTTTGGTTGCAAACCTACTTGGAAAATAAAAACCCATATTTTAAAATACAGGGTGTCCGGTCATAAGTGTTAAATAAAATTTTGCATTAAACTACATGGTAATGGTGACAGAATGTCGCATATTTGAGGTTCCCAACTTAAACAGTTAGAGAATAACACATAAATTAAGATTTTTCAAAAATTATTGTAGTTGTTATGAAAAAGGTTATTTTAATCTGTTGAAAATGCACTTATTGTCAATTTAAATGTCATTTTCAGAATCCTCACGAAATTTTAAATAGATATAGGTAACACATAATCGTTGGGGTACGGAAAAATATTCTATTTAAATTTCTTCGTTAAACAAATTATTTTTATATTGACGAAAATGTAAATAACATTCAGAAATTAATTTCTCGGTTGCCGAGTTTCGGCGAGGTTATCAAATAAAACTAAAAACTTCCTTATTTAAAGGGCTTTAAAATGATGCATAACAACATTTACCTACTGTCAAATCCATGGTGAATTTTACGCACTATTGTGAAAAATCACGGTTAAGCCAAAACAAATATTGTAAAAAATAATGAATTTTACTTACTATTTTATGAGCTGACCACTGATGACTAGGGTTTGTGTAATTTATGACTAACCAGACTACACTTCCATCAAACTAAAGAGTTTTTTTTAAGACTTTGGAAATTTTGTTATTAAAAAACACAGTACATTGGTAAAAACACAATACAAACTTTAATTTTAATATGAAGGATAGTTAACACATTAAACAAATCAATGACATACTTTGTCCAAAGCACAACTCACAGTTTGGGTGTGAAGTGCCCTCCGTTTTCCCACAAGCAGGCCCTAGCTCGTTTGTAAATTGCGCCAACTGTGACCTCAATTTGTACTCAATTTTTCCCTTACTTTCCCAGCAGCCTCAAAGATTCTCTCCCGTAACTCAACTTCAGAGTTTACAACAGTTGAGTAACCTAGACTTTTTATGTAACCCCAAACAAAAAAATCCAACGGGCACAAGTCTAAAGATCTAGAAGGCCATGTCTTACTTCCTAGACGTCCAATCAATGTTGGGTAGTTTTGGGATAGCCACAACCGAAAGCTTTCAGTAAAATGTGGTGGAGCACCATCAACAAACTCCCGAATCGAAAAAGACATAGTTGACCCATCACTGTCCACATGTGAATGATAGATTTAAAAAAAATATGACTACGCTTTGTTGTCTTATCGCTTAGATAAAGTATTGTTGTCAGTAAAATACCTGAATCTATTGACTAAGTCCATTCAACAAAATAGAAATTCCGGGAGATAATTGAAATCTAATATGAAAAATATACGTTAACCGTAACTTTATAACAAACACATTTTACTACCATGTTTCTTTTCTTAGCTTGATAGTTATACACAAACTGTTGCATGCGAGAAAAAAATACAAATTATTTGTTGCCTGCACTTAAATGTATTATTCTTCACAATAGATTTTCTTTTCCCTACCATGTTTTTTCACAATAAGGATTGAATTACATTAGGACATTTGAAATACGGTAAAAACTATTATACACCATCGTAAAGCCCTTTAAATAAGGATGTTTTTAGTAACATTTGATAAACTGAGCGGAACTCAACAACCGAGAAATAAATCACTGAATGTTATTTAAATTTTCGTCAATATTAAAAATAATTTGTTTAACGAAGATATTTAAATAGAATATTTTTCCGTACCCAAACGATTATGTGTTATATCTCTTCAAAATGTTGCGAGGATTCCGAAAATGACATTTATATTAACAATTAGTGCATTTTTAACAGAGCCATATAACCTTTTTCATAACAACTACAATAATTTTTGAAAAATCTTAATTTATTTGTTATTCTATAACGGTTGAAGTTGGGAACCTCAAATGTGCGTCATTATGTCACCATTTTCATGTAGTTTGATGCAAAATTTTATTTAACACTTATGACCGGACACCCTGTATAGATTCTGTAACCGTAGATGTATCAACCTATGGTTGACCCCAGATTTTAAAAATTACCTATATTTATCTTATTAATAGGATTTTGTGGGATCTGCAAAAAATTGTATTGTTTACGTATTTAAATTATATGGAATGGTTAACTTTTTGTAATCGCAGCAACGCGCGACGGTTAAGCTAGTAATAGATAAACACGTAGTGTACATCATTCAACTGAAACCAAACCAACATTGCTGTTATCTAAACAAGCAGGTAACAGAGAACCCTACTTACACCTGTATGCAGTCCAGACATCTTGACTTACATCAATCAAAGTCAAAAGAAGAAGAAACCTACTCTATTGAGCAGAAAAATAGGGAGCCTGTTAAAAGTGTAACCACCGGTAGACACAAAATACAAATTACCATATCATCATTACTCTAGGTTAGGTTCGTGTTATTGCATCCAAACGAACAGTTTTTATATTTACTAAAATATACGTCTTATACTTACTAAGTAGTTGTAGAGAAGAAGATGGTAATTCTTCACCGCCTTGTCCAATGAAAATTGCTGTCCGATTAAGCGCTTGTTCTTGGTGTAAATCAATTACATAAATGTCCAGGTCACAAGGAAAAATACTCGACCGGTGCGTCTTTTCCCAGTTAGAACACATAAGGCTCCGTCCAAACTCTATGGCTCTTGTGTCACTTAAACACAACATTTGTCTGCAACATCTATTGCTGTGTTTTTAAAATATATTATACCGAACCAATAAGTAAACAATTGAAACACAATTCAAAGGTTTGAACACTATCTCACATTATAAAAAGATATACTTTTACTATCTTGAAAAAATATAGTAATCTAGGGTACAATCAAAAGGTTTACTCAAGGAAAAGTAAACAAACAAACAAATCTAACAGCTGAAAGATCTTCAATACTTTTAATGTATTCACTAGTTATTAAATGCAGCCTTTTGAAGGTTTATCGAAAAACTGATATTTTTCGGGGAAGTTTCACAACAAGACCTTTCATTCACTCAAAAACAGTATGTGGTCGATATGTGTATAGCTTATGGGTTTTTTTCCAAAAAGCTCAGATATTTCTTAGTTTAAATTATATATACCTTTCTTCTCTATATATAAATGCGAAATCCTGATCAACACACACGTCAAACCATAGCACCTAGAAGCATGAGATTTTGTATACATATTCCTCTCGTAGCGTAGGCAGACAATATGAAGAGATTTTGCAAAATTCCCAATGGGCCCCGCCCCACAGAAGGTCAAAGTTAG